AACACGGGGGGGGGGGCCGGGGGGGGGGGGTCGGTTTGATATTTCTGCCATTCATCTTGTGCCAACTAGTTCGGTGCGAGTAAATCTCCAACCTGTTAGGAACATCAAGGCATCCTAGGTACCAGTAAAAGCGATGAGGTGGAAGGCAGCGCGGCGAAAGTTGGTAGGAGGGATCGACCCAACCACTGCGATGCTTCCCGGATGATTGAGAGGTCGACTTGTGAACCCATCGACGACAAGCACTTGGGGCATAATGCCTTACAGACGTGCTCATCTCACCGTCGCTCATGTATTGGCACATACTGCTACACCGTCAAGCCTTGCGGTCGGCCAAAAGATCCCTGTCCACTACTTCGCACATTATGTCACACACCGTGTACAAACCGATCGACAAGCCAAGTCTTGATTATAGACCAACAGAAGAAATACCCATGGTTGGAGCGAAAATGAGGTACCCTGACAACGACTATGTTCAGCAAATACTCTGTATCGTCCGGCAAGCGGATGGGATATGGGTGCCACAATGCATTCTAACGTGATTATTGTCTTTCAGAAGTGGTGAATAAGGCATGACTCCACCCCAGAGAATATTTCTGCGTGACCCCCGACGGCAATTCGTTCAACAGAGCACCCAAAGTCGTACCGCAGGCCACGCCGACGGACGTGTAAGAGGGATACAACTTGCTCGTGTACCAACCACCGTCGAGCCGTGCGGTCACAAAAAAACGGAACGATGCAGATCCGAAAGACCGCGAACAGGGCAACGCTTCTTGCTCGAACTCACCGGTAAGCGCCGAGACTAGAGAAACAAACACGTACGCCGACACGGCCAGCAGCGGCACGGCCAAGACCTTGCTCGTGAGGACTTTCTGCGGGCGGAAAATTGGAAGCCGGCAAGCACAGAGACAAAAAAATGGGCAATCCCAAAGCAGGTGAGACGCGCGGGACGCCCGAGACACGCGGGACGCGGGCGGGGGGAGGGAGGGGAAGCGGGTACACGAGCTCCACGGGCTGGAACGGCTTCGAATTGCGATACGCCTTGGTGCCTCCCCACCATTTCTGCGCCACCAAGAACGGCCCACGCAGTAGTGGCGGTCGAAAGGCCGGCAGTGCAGCTACGGGCTACTCTTGGCTACCAAATGATAAACCACGGCGAGAAGGCATCACAACCGAGCAAGGGAGTCAGGCACCGGAGAGCGCGCGCATCCGCTCTGAACAATTTTGTTCCCCCGGTCTCGCCCATCGCCTCCGCGAAATATCCGCAACATCAGAGGAAAAAGAGGTAAGGACAGGGATCAAAACCAAAGCAGGCCACCAGGAAAACAATCACACGCACACACACTCCCCCATGACGCCCGCTCACGGGGTCCCAGATCATGGCCTTTGGAAGCATTGTGCCGCGCTGAGACTGACGTCGCTCTATTGGTCAGCCTGTTAGCGCGGTCGATGCCAACAAAAGACACACACAAACACACACACACGAAACAAATCACCTCCAACGTGGACATCTCCTCCTCTTCGTCACCCGCCGCCTGCGGGAGGTAGTTCCTCACGGCCAGGTAGGGCCCCAGCGAGAAGAACCCCAGAGCGAACGCCCCGAACACGAACGGCGGCGCCGGCACCGGCTGCCGCCCCTTCCCGAAGGACCCGCCGCCGACCAGCATGGACGCCATGATGCCGGGCAGGAAGCCGAGCGCGTTGAAGACGGCGGTGAAGATCGCCGTCTCAGGCACGACGGGGCCATCGTCTGTTGTTTCGGAGCCCGCCACGTTTTCGCATGCGAGCGCGCGGGGAAAAGATTGAGGGATTTTATAGGCAAACTCATGGATGTGGGGGGGCGCGGGGGCTCTTGCTGTCCCTTCAACAACCAGTGCGAGTTAGTTGCAGCCATGGACCATTCCACGTCTAAGATGCAGGAAACCCGCGCGCAAGCTATAACTATGGATACACAGCCGGCGGATGTACACGTGTACATGAGCAGCTGCGCCGCGAAAAGCGCGACGTTCGCAGAGGAGTAGTTCCGGCGCACACGAGTCCACCTCTTGCCGGCGATTGAAGCGAGCAACTGCGTGCTATCGTTTGCAGCCCGCAACAACCGGTTGTAGCACCAGCAGTTGTGACTCCCCACATCCTTAGCAAAAGCTGTCGGTGAAAAACACCTTTGAGCAGTCATGATCGAACCCAGAACACACCCCACTGTATCACCCAAAACCAAGCCAAGACCAGAAGGGCGGCACAATGTAAAATATCCCAGCCGCGTCCGTCCCCCCCTCCCCGGCAGGGAACACTCACAAAGGTGCGTAACCAACTCGATGTCCTTGGGGTCGCCCGTTGCGCCGGGAGACCAGGGCCCGAAGGCGTAGATCGTGAACGGCAGCCAGATAGCCAGCAGCAGCGCCCGCCGCACGGCCGTGAGGTCTCTGCCGTCGCCGTCCCGCCCTTCCCCGGCTCCTGCCCCCGACGCGGCCTACGGCAAAGCAAAAAAAAAAAGTAAGCAAAATAAATCGAACAAGTCCGGAAAGGGATACGCACCCAACAGCCAAACGTAAGAATAATCGGAATTGCGAGTGTTAAAATGCACGGAGGAAGGCACGTCGACTGCATACGCGTTCGAGAGGCTAGCACATGAACTGGTCGCGCAGGACGGTGGTGATACGCACACGTGGGTGCACCGTCACCATCAGCTGCCCCCCGCATCCCAGCCCCCTTCCGGAGGCTTCCTGGGCGTTGCATGCCAGGTGCGCATGAAACCGGCCGGCAGTCGGCAGCACTGCTCTGGATACACCGCAATAGTTCCGGAGGTGTTTTTCTCTTTTCGGCGAAACCGCCGGAACGAAATCCCGTGCTCTGATTTCCCGGGATCTTGGCTGCCGGCGGTGATACACCGCGGCAATATTGTTCTCGCGGGACATGGTCAAGGCTGGTCAAGGCTGTCTGTTGATGCTGTAGACAGCGCGGTCTGCCGGTTGCGGCGGTCGATGAGCGCTCGGGAGAAAATAACTAGCACTGCCGTACTCTGATGGTATAAGGCTGAAACAAGATTTTGCATACCGACCTCCATTTGCCACGGCGACAGCCGCGTCATCAGCAATGCGCGAAACATAGAAGCACAGCAGTGGGACAAGGTGGCGGCATCTACAAAACCTCCCCACTCGCGAGAACTACTAATAGCTCAGGACGAGATGTTGAAGACAGTTTCGTCATGCTGCCCCTAGCTTCCGCTTTTGCCGATGACCTCCCTCCCGGCAAGAACCCTTTCGCATGGTACACCACAAATATGCCTCCGACAGCGAAGAAGAAAGGAAACGAACATCATCCCGATTGGCACCATCCAGCGGAACAGACATCGCCGCTCAGCGCAAAACATTGCCCCGCAAAAATACCACTTGCGCATCAACCCAAAGCGTCCAACCCACAAAAAGAAAAAAAAATCCTTCTGGGTCAACCGCCCCCCCCCCCCCCTGCTCCCTCACCCCGACATTCGGAACCACGCCCCTAGCGCAAAGAAAGCACCGGCAGCCTAAACCTCTCGCGGAGAAAATCTCGGTTACCTTGAGAGCTCCTGCGGCGGTTTGTCTCCGAGAGTCTACCAAGCCGGCGGCGGCAGGTCGGGCACCACGGGAAGCGGGACGGGCATCACCGTCCTCGTCGTCGTCTGTTGTTGCGAAAGGAAGTCGGGCTGCCCTCAAGCACGTGGCCGGCGTGGTGCTTCGGAGTCCGACCGTGGTCGAGGCGGTGGCAGGGCAAGAAGGCGACTGGCGCAAGATCTGCTCACGCGTGGGTGGGGCAGGGGTGGGTGGGTGTGCGTTCATTATTTGCGTCGACCGCGCTAACCGGTTGGCCAATGAAAATGCGTCAGTCTCAGTGCGGCTGAAACGGAAGTGTTTCCAAATGCAACGGTCTGGAATCCTGTGTGTGTGGGCGAGACAATTGGGCGCGTTGGGAGGGTAAAATGAAGGTTTCGTCCAAACAACAGAGCCACTACAACTAGCTCAACGTGCGACTTCATTTGCCGTTTTCATCCTGAGATTTTGAAGAAACCCCTCTTCTTGCCGTCCCGTCAAAATGAAGACCTGGGATGCGCAACGCATGCATGCACCCACTGGCCCATTTTCGCGGCTTGTCGATACATTTCCTGGCAAGCCTTTATCAGCACCCTCGGTTCGCCGGCGCCTCTTCCATCCACCACTGCTGTGGCACTTCTCTACGAGTCTTCCTCCGCCTGCCCGTCCCACTCCAAGCGGTAACAAGGCGGAGAGCCAAGACAATGCCCTCCCGACACACGTGCATATTTCCAACGCTTCGTGTGTAAAAAATCGTTTTGAGAACAGCAACAACTCGCTAAACGCTCCATCAGTGGTACGTAGCGCCAGCGGCCTCTCTGATTCGTGGACATGTGGTGAACAACGCGTCGCTTTGTACTGCCTGCGTTGCAGGAGTTGCAGACCAGGCAGCCGCACCACCGTACTGATTCCGTGACACGCGCTCCCAAACGTCGCGTGAAGGATCTCCAGTACACCCTTTGTGCCTCGCAAGACCCTTCTACAGGCAACTCTGCTACATATTTGTGGGAGTTAGCGTTGTGCAGCGCTCACCACACGCGGTCACCCCCAAAAGAGACACACATATTGAGCGCAGTGAGGACGCCGGCACCATATGTTGCCTAGGGGAGAGAGTCGCGACGCTTTGTGCAGCATGGCCGCGTCTGGTGTATGCTACGATTGATTGCCGTTTGGCGCACGGGTGTGATGTGCATCACTGCTTTCATGCTGCCGCTGGGTACGGCAGTCGTACTGTCTGCTCGACAGGTGCTCACGGTTCCACCAAGCGGCAGGCTGTAGTTTTACGCCGTACACGCTGACGTTTGCCATCCAAGACATGAACGCGGGGTCGATTTCGTGCGAGTGAGAAAATGGTTGCCTGAGGCCCTTTGCATCACTCATCGACGACGGACGATGTTGTCCGGATCGTGAGGCAAGGCTGTACGTTCGTAGATAGATAAGGTTTCCCTCCAGTCGCTGCAAAGACTTCAACACATCCCCTTCGACAGTGGTTATATCTCGAACGGGAGCATAGTCTTTCTGTGTTTGTATTTATTTTTCCTTGTACTCTACATACACTGAAAAGTGTAGTACACGACTCACCACGAAGAATGGGGGGGCTGTCGCCAAAATAAATAGGACGAAAACACAACAACACACAAACTAAACTCTGTGGTGAGTGCGGTGCTGCGTACCAGCAAACCTAGAAGTACGGCACTTCCACATACAGAATTAGATCTCGCGATTCCAATCGTTTACAGCAAAATCGTCTCGGATGAGCACTCTGTTTTGATGAACGTATATTTTTGAATCACCAAGGGCGAGAAGTGCACACAGCAGTGACCTTGAGTGATGCCCACGCCGGGCCGCCGAGTCATCGGCACGTCTGACAGAGGTGGGTCTGTAATCGTAAGATGATGCACCGGCTTGCTGCACAATCACACAAACACGCCCATTCCTGCTGTACCTGTCTCTCTTGCGCATCATCGTTTGGCTGCCGAGCGGAACTAGACAGGAGTGCCCCCCCCTCCCAGCTGGCTACTGGGTCTCTGACGCTGCTGCGGTTGCAGGTGAAGACATCCTGGGAACATGTGTCGAGAGCACGCTGCAACTTACATGTACGAGGCATCATTCACCGAATACCGTCACCGAATATTGAGCCGACATACCGTCTGCCTGGAACCAGGAACAACGAAACCCGTGCAAGAAGTAGCTAAGAGGACGGCGATGAGCCCTGTAGTAGAGTGGAGAGGAGCCATGTCGTTCAGGTGTAGCACCAGACACCAGAGTTTTGTGTGGGTCAAGGCGAAAAAAGGGCGGGCTTGGGCGGGCGCGCGGGCGCTCGAGGGGGCGCATGATTGGGGAGCAAGTGGGGGTGCTGCTGGTTTTCCCTCTCGCGACGGCGCCCCATATGTACAGTTCAGGATTCGGACGATCTACAAATGTAGCACATACTGGCACGACAGCAGTGTTATTACAGCTGTCTTCGAAGTAGGGGGATGTTTGACACTTTGGAGAGGTGCTGTACACAAACACGGGGGCGATGGATTAAATCGAGTATACGGTAGTAATAGCACCACCAGCAACCACTACAAGCACAAAAACCACGGACGACGATGAAGATGCAACAAGATGCGGCGTTGCTCAGGTAAGGTGGCCAGGTAATGATGTAGCACGCGACAAGAACACACTACGGAAGAACGATATCAACATAGGGCAGAGGTACTCAATCAACTCCAAGGATGGGGTGGTTGACGTCCCAGAAACACTCCAGTAACGTATGTACATCTCTTGTTCGGGGGGCTCCAAGAAGAAGGCAGAGTTCTACACCAAGCCCGAAAAGAAAAGTAAAAATGAGTGGGGGGGAAGTGCGGTGACCCCACCATATCCCACAATGAACCATATCATGTTTTTCCCGCCCGTCTCGATGCTGCAACTGGTTGCCCGTATGTCTATGTATATCGACTGGACTCCGCATCATGTATGCATACAGCACGCATTTTAGTCGAAAATAAGAGTGTCCGGTGAGAGTTTTTTGTCTACGGCCAGCAGTTGGTTAGGGTTGAGCGAAGGTATGCCGACTACGTAGTAAGAAGGTGGTTCCCGGTGCCGGCGGAAGTTACGCACGGCAACTGGACGGACGAAACGAAACTGACAAAAAATGGCACGCGTTCACGCTCTTTGTACTCGTGGCGCCAAGTCGGTGTTGGCGGACATGCCATGTTCCACCAAAGAAAAGGTTGGTGCGTTTAGGATTGATCGACAGAAGATATAGATGTGTACTTCACGACACGAATCTTAATCTTCACTTGCCGTTTGTTCACTCGCATGACTAAGCAGCGTTAGCCTCGTGGGGTACGTGGTGATGAGAGAAGCTCCATGCCGGGGCCTTTCGGCAGCTACGCGGCATGCATTGCCCCCACCGTCGGAAGTTGCATCAGTTCGCGACTGTGATGCAAGCACGTGTAGTACGTCGTCGTGTTTGAGCCCGAGGCTTGGGGCAAGCCTGCGCCTCAGCGACCTTGCCCTTGCAGCAGTGGTGGTCGTGCATCATTGCTCACGCTTGGGAGCTACATAGCTAGGGCTTGAACTACAACAGGTTGTCACAGAAACGTTTGCTTTTTTAATCGATTGCCCTGGCGACAGGACACGAGAAAGCGACAAAATACAACAAGGCACTGAAAAATGCGCACGTAAACCCCTACTTCGCCATTCAACATTCAAAATTATGAAGCAAACACTACCGTAACACTATGCAGAAGAACTATGTCCACCGACCCCGTTGACGAATTTCTCGGGGAGATCGGGGATGAGAAGGCCTTCCTCTTCATGGCGCCGCAAACATGGCCCGCAAAAGCACAGCGAGCGGCGAACCTCCGATCGATCCGACAAACATGTTCTTCTCTATACACAAAATAAGTGTCACCTTCAAGCACAGTCTAGTCTTAAGTACAACAAGCACTCGAAAGTACAACAAGCACTCGTGGCCCTCTCTGACTAAAGCACTGCTACGAACAACAACGAAGCCACAGCGGAAGGCAGTTGTTTGTCCAGGGTGACCATCGGCTACTACTCCCACGCACCTTTGCTGGGGGTAGGCTAAACCTCTTCCCCATCCCCCCATGTGTAATATCTACAGGATAGATAAAGAGGGAAAACGATATTGAGCGATTGGCCAATCGGTGATCGGTTCTGTGGGAACAATGCTTCATCCTCTCGAGGACGCGTGGTCAATGGTCTAGCCCGGAAGGCATGCAAAACATGAGTATGCCCCCCCCC